CACCCTGCAGCTCCATTCTGGGGATTGGCCACATTGTCTGTGTCCTCAGGTCGTACGCGGAGGCCCGGCTGAACCCCTCTTTGCCCACTTCCCTCCTGTGGCCAATCTCTGGTTGTGACCATCAGGGGTCCCCAGGAGTTCATGAAACCAATGCATGACTCCTGGTCGGCTCCAGGTGAGGGACTCGGCCGGAAAAAGTACCAGTTTCCTCGGGCCCTGCTCCTTCCCTTCCCCAGGGTCTCTGGAAGTGGGGCTGGGTCACTCTCTGGGGTGGGGCCATCCTGGGCCCTGCAGGGTGTTGAGCAGCAGCCCTGGCCCCACCCTCCTGATGCCAGGAGCACGCCCAGTCGGGATGACTGCATTTGTCACCAGACTTGGCTCAGTCTCCCCTGAGGGGCAGATCGCCCTGGCTGAGACCCCTGGGCTGTTTGAGGCAGATCACCGGGGACACCTGAGGTATACCCCCCTCTCTCTTTCTTTTTCTTTTTTTAGTGGATTTTAAAATTCTTTTTTATTTTTTTAAAATATATTTTTGTTGATTTCAGAGAGGAAGGGAGAGGGAGAGAGAGAGAGAGATAGAAACATCAATGATGAGAGAGAATCATTGATTGGCTGCCTCCTGCGTTCCCCTTACTGGGGATCGAGCCCACAACCCGGGCTGTGCGCTTGACTGGAATCAAAACTGGGACCCTTCAGTCCGAAGGCCGATGCTCTATCCACTGAGCCAAACCGGCCAGGGAGGGCTGGGGCTATTTCATTCCTTCCTTCCTTCACTCGTTTGTTTGCTCAGTAAAATCTCACAGAGAATGTCTTGCCGCATGCCAGGCATAGCTCTGAGGATTGAGCTGACGCGGTCCTGTGCTTGTGGGCGCCCGGTTCAGATTTCTGCCCTTTCTCCGGCCCACCCCACACCTCAGCCTGGCTGCCTCTGGAACCAGCTGGCCCATGACCTGGGCTTCCACACCCTGCTGCCAGGGCAGGGGCAGAGCAGAACGTGCTGGCTCTTCCCTGCTCTGGAGTGGCTTTGAGGGGGGTGGGGGTGGGGGACAGAATTTATGTCAGAAACTCCGGGACAGTGGTTGCCAGAGACCCAGGGAGCCCGCTTGGCTCTGCAGGGTCCCCAGAGCTTTCTGATGTGCTGGGACTCAGGCTCCCCCACTAGCGTCCTGGGGTGGCCATGACAACCACCCACCGGACGGCTTAAAACAACGGAAATTCACTCTCTCACATCTGGAGGCCGAGTCTGAAATCAAGGTGATGCAGAGCCGTGCTCCCTCTGAGGGCTCCAGGGAGGGTCCTTCCTGCCTCTCCTGGGGGTGGGGGGCGTCCTTGGTGTCCCCCTTGGTTTGTGGCTGCATCACCCCCATCTCTGCCTCTGTTGTCACATGGCCTACGTGTCTGTGTCCATATTTTCATCTTATAAGGACACTAATCACTGGGTTCAGTGTAACCTCATCTTAACTCATTACACCTGCAACAACTCGGTTTCTAGAGAGGTTCCCTTCTGAAGTCCGGAGCGGACGCAGATGTTGGGGACCCTACAGTTTCCCTGGGTGTGGATAGTGTGCTTGGAGTAACACACTTCGTGTGGGTGGAGGAGTCCAGATAAACCCTCCCCCGCCCCTAGTCGACCTTCGCTAATTCAGATCCAGGGCGAGAGATCTCATGTTGTCTGTTCTGCACCAAATTCTGCCTGTGGACCTGTCTCCCCAGCACCCTTAGGAATCAGGAGTCACATGTCACAGTTTAGGGAATCAGAGCACCTCCCATCAGCTTCCTCACCCAAAAGAAGGCTCACCCTTTATTATGCCAACAATTCCCGCTTTGCTCTTATTTGGGATGGTTTTCATGGTCCTTCCAAAATATTTTTAGGAATTTAAATTAGATTTTAAAATTTGAGACGCCTGTCAATTCACATGCAGTTGTAGGAAACGATAGAGAGAGACCTGCACGTTGCCCGGTTTCCCCCAAGGATGGCAAACTAGTGAGACCACAGCCAGGATGCTGGCACCACTGCAGGAAAGACACAGGTCCCTCCTGTGGCCCTGAGATGGCCACACCCAGGTCCCCTCACCCACCCCCATCCCTGGCGACCACTGGTAGGTTCTCTTTCTCCACAAGTTTGCCACCTGGAGAATGTTAAGTAAATGCAAGCGTTTGGTATGTAACTTCCCTCCACGTGGTGTCATTCTCTGGTTGCTGCTGGTAGCTGTGGCTCATTCCTTCCCACGGCCGAGTCGTGCGCCAGGACAGGGCTGTGCACCGGTTACCATGACCCGCGGAAGGACAGCGGGGCGGAGTCCTCAGCTTGGCCATCACGAGCAAAGCTGCCATCAGCCTTCGCATGAACATTGTCTGTTTCTCTGGGGTAAGTGCTGAGGAGTGTGGCTGCAGGCTTAATTTTGAAAGCAAATGCCAACTTGTTTTCCAGAGTGGCTGTACCATTTTACACCCCCACCAGCGATGTATGAGTGATGTTAACTTGTTTTTGTAATTCAGTTATCCAAATTCTTCTCTGTTCCTTCAGGCAGTGAAAACTCTACCTTTTCACCCAACCTTCATCCAGGGGGCCCTAGTGGTGTGGCTCTGCACTGGGATGATGTCCAGGGACATCTGCGGCTGTCACACAACTCTACCTTTTCACCCAACCTTCATCCAGGGGGCCCCAGTGGTGTGGTTCTGCATCTGCGGCTGTCACATTGGGTTGCTCTTAGCATGGGGGTGTGGGAGGTGGGGACCAGGAATGCTGCTCAACCCCCCCATAGTGCCCAGGACGCCCGAGGGGTAGGGTCGGGTAGAGGGTGCAGAATCCAAGTTCAAGAGTCCTGGGAAGTCCCCGCCCCAGCCAGGCCGACTTCTAACCAGGTAACTAACACTCTCTCTCTGTCACCATGCACTGCATCACTGTCTGCTTGGTAGTCAGGAAGGCCAGGTGGCTTCAGAAATTAAAAGCAGATTTTCAGAAAAGTTCTTTGGAATCTAAAGGAGTGGACTGTTGATCAACACGCCTTGGACGGTGCTCCAGAGAGTTCTGCTGAGTGAACAGCCGATCCCTAGAGGTTACAAGCTGCATGGTGCCATGTATGGGCTATTTTTGAGATGACAAGGTTGTGAGGATGAAGGCGTGATGGGGGGCTGCTGGGGCTGGGTTGGGGTTGCGGCCTGGGAGAAAAGGGTGACACCAGATCTCCGTGGCGCTGGAGACGGGGCTTATCTTGGGTGGTGGTGGGTCCATGCGCCTGCCCAGGTGATAAACTTGCATAGAACTTAACATACATACACAAAACTCCGCAGAAATCTGAATAGGGTCAGGGGGCTATATCAATGCCAAAATCCTGGCTGTGATATTGACAAGGGACTTTGACAAAACATTATCATTTGGGGGGGTCAAGGGAAGTAGAAAAGGGGGTAGGGGGGATAAAAAGTGATAGAAGGAGACGACTTGGGGTGGTGAACACACAATATAATATAATATACAGGTGATGTATTATAGCAGTGATGGCGAACCTTTTGAGCTCGGCATGTCAGCATTTTGAAAAACCCTAACTTAACTCTGGTGCCGCGTCACATATAGAAATTTTTTGATATTTGCAACCATAGTAAAACAAAGACTTATATTTTTGATATTTATTTTATATATTTAAATGCCATTTAACAAAGAAAAATCAACCAAAAAAAATGAGTTCGCGTGTCACCTCTGACACGCGTGTCATAGGCTCGCCATCACTGGTCTAAACTATATGACATTAAACTGATGGAAGCTGTTAGCAGAGCCCAGCAAGGACCCACGATTCAGAGTCAGAATGATGGACTTGACAATAAGCTAAGTGAGTGGGAGACACTGCCATTCACAGGATGTTCAGTGGTGAAAGGAACAAGAAATCAAGCCCACAGCATCTACTAAATGCAAAAAGATTTACACATGCGCCTTTTAGATAGCAGGCACACGGAACTTCCAATGGCGTGAGGTTCTCAGCAATCTTCCAAATGTAAACAAAAAAAAATGTGTGTTAGCTTATGTTTTTTGTACAGGTCAGGCTCTTCAAACTATTTTTCATGTATTAATTTGTTGCTATTTCACAGCTAGGTTATCAATTGAGAAATACTCTTTTCATATTTTACAGGTGAAAATCCATGACACAGAGAGTTTAAGTAACATTTCCAATGTCAAATGACCGTTAGTAAACTAAGTTGCTGGGATTAAATTCCAAGCAATTTAGCATCAGCGTCCATCCTCTCACAGTGGAAGTTCATCCTTATGGTCCACAATTCAATAAGTTGCACTTTGCAATATTGAAACCCCCTTTGTCAGTCAGGAAGCTAAGACTGGCTTACATGTACAAAGTCCTTCACCCTACATGATGCTTTTACATTTGATTTCCCAACAACCAGTGGGGAAGGGAGAACAGGAAGAACCACACAGCTTACATGAGTTGTCCAAGGCAAAATAGCTTGTTTCCCTCTAGTGTGTGTCTCTCTCTCTCTCTCTCTCTCTCTCTCTCTCTCTCTC